AAAATCATAAAAAAAAATGTTAATGACAATGATGAATAAATTTTGAAAGGGCTAAAAAAAGGACTAGGGGCAATTTCAAATTTTTGTGGCCAAAAAAAGAATTTGGTAGCCAAATTTAGCCACCAAAGGGCTAAAACGGCAACACTGGTGATGAGTGATGGTAGGGTTATCGTTAGATTCGTTATGGCAAAGTCAAGCTGCGCGCCAACGCGGTACCATACCATACCGAAGCTTGAGCTGCAGGCTGCGGTCATGGCGCTAAGGTTAAAAGAAACTATCGTATTAAACCATAATAAAATCATTAATCGCTTCTATTTCTGGACCGACTCGTTGACAGTTATTCAATGGATTCGAGCAGATCACCGACGATATAAACAATACGTAGCCAACAGAGTGGCAGAAATTTTAGAAGCTTGCGAGATCGGAGACTGGCGCTGGTGTCCCGGGCCGCTCAATCCAGCCGATGCACCACTAGAGCGAAATTTCCGGCGAATTATAACGCCGATGGACGCTGGAAAAATGGACCAGAATTTTTGTTGGAAGACGAGAACCTATGGCCGAAAGAATCACTTATGACTAATAGCGAGGAGCACAGCAGAGATGAGCTGCGCGTCAAATACATTATGTCAACTGCGAGGCAAGTATACGTGATAATGCCAAATATTGATCGCTTTTCGAATTATTCTAGACTAAAACGTTCTGTGGCATGGGTACATCGTTATGTTCAAAGTTTGTTGAGGAAAGTGCGGCACGAAGCGTCCACCAAAGGCGAACTAACCGTTGACGAAGAGCGTCAATCGGAAACACATCTTATAAAATTCGGCCAGGAACGAGAGTATGCCGAAGAACTTGCCGATATAAAGCGCAATGGCGCTGTTTCAGCCAGCAGTACATTGAGGACACTCAACCCCTTTATTGCAAATGGTGGCATGCTGCGAGTATGCGGAAGAATTGAAAGGGCAGCATGCACGTCGATCGAAGCGAGACAGCCGATTATATTGCCAAATAATCACAGGGTGACGCGCTTGCTTGCCGAATACTATCACTTAAACTTTTTACACATCGACGTTGCCACGGTGATGAGTGAGATTCGTCTACGGTATTGGATCCCTTCGCTTCGAAGACTGCTAAATAGCGTGCAGTCGCGATGCCAACTTTGTCGCCTGAAACGTGCCAAGCCCCAGCAACCGCAAATGGGTGTTCTACCCTCTGACCGATTGAGCTTCACCTATACGGGGCTCAACTTCTTTAGCCCGATCAGCGTAACTATTCGTCGCCAGCGTGAGAAGAGGTGGGTCGCACTGTTCACCTGGTTCACTGTGCGCGCCATCCATTTAGAAGTGGCGACTGACCTGTCAAGTGACGCGTGCCTTATCTGCATCCGAAATTTCATTAATAGACGCGGAGTGCCCGAGGTGATAAGGAGCGACAATGGCACAAACTTTGTTGGCATCGCAAAGGAGCTGCAAGGCGTAAGTTCGTTCTTAGATTCTTCTTCTTTAACGGCAGGCTTGACGCCATTGGGCATTCGGTGGAAATTTAACACACCTGCGAATCCGAGTGAAGGTGGCGCATGGGAAAGACTCGTACAATCAGTAATGAAAGCGCTATTTACTATGTTGAAGGAACACTCGCCACGACTCGAAACGCTGCAGAGCTTTTTAATTGAGGCTGAAAACATGGTCAACGCCAGGCCGTTAACACACCTACCGGTGACGCCCGCGGAGCCGGAGCCATTGACTCCCAACCACTTTTTTCTGGCCCCAACTCCACACAGACGCCAGCGCCATTTGATCACCGCCTGTTGTGCCTGAGAAAGCAGTGGCGTGTGGTGCAGAATTTGAAGAACGGTATGTGGCACCAATGGGTGCGCGAATATTTACCCAACTGACGCGGCATAAAAAGTGGTGTTTGGCAGCAAAGCCCATCCAACCAGGATGTCTCGTTTTGATATGTGAAGCCGAATCTCCCAGGTCGCAGTGGAAGAGAGGAAGGGTGGTGGAGCTACACTACGGTANGCCATTGACTCCCAACCACTTTTTGTTGGGGTGCCCCAACTCCACACAGACGCCAGCGCCATTTGATCACCGCCTGTTGTGCCTGAGAAAGCAGTGGCGTGTGGTGCAGAATTTGAAGAACGGTATGTGGCACCAATGGGTGCGCGAATATTTACCCAACTGACGCGGCATAAAAAGTGGTGTTTGGCAGCAAAGCCCATCCAACCAGGATGTCTCGTTTTGATATGTGAAGCCGAATCTCCCAGGTCGCAGTGGAAGAGAGGAAGGGTGGTGGAGCTACACTACGGTAGAGACGGCGTCGCCCGCTCCGCCCATGTCACGACAAGCAGCGGAGTCTACCGAAGACCTATTTCAAAGTTAGCGGTACTTGATGTGGAACCAGCCGGAACTATTAGTGAAGCCTCCCCATCCGGGTCTGCTCACGGGGCCGGGGATGCCGATCTTTTGTATTGTATCTGTATTTGAATGTCACTTATGTATTAATTTTATGTAATAAGTCAAGCTATAAGTAGTCGTGCTTCTAGCAAATTCCGTTCTTTTTTACATGTCTACGGAGCGAAACCAATGTGAGTAACATCAACTTGTATAGCTTGTACTATTTGTAAATTGCATTTTTGTATTTATTGCCTTAGAGAATAAACCAAGTTGAGAATCCAAGTGGAAATCAAACCATACTATAACTCGAGATTGCCCTTTATTTGTAGCAGCTGGGATTCTCCCAAGTTTATTTCGAAGCCCGTAAAAAAGCACACAAGGTGTGATTGACAACACAGGAGCCTATTTCATAAAAGTGAGAGGTGCGACAATCGATTTTTCTATAAAATTTCACTGCCAGAATTGTCGGCGACTTTTTTCCTGTTTCGTATACGTTTGTAGGCAACTGTGAAAATTTTTGGAAAACGGCGGTGATAATATGGAATATTGTCGACAATTGTGCTGACAATTGTCACTCTGGCAAAATTGTCGTGACAATGGCGGCAAAACCAAATAGCTCCGTCGGAAAGCTTACACAGGAGAGTTTTGTAAATTTATTTATATGGTAATTGCGTGCATTTCATTACTTTTCAATTAATTTAATAGTTCTTAAAACTAAAATAATACAAATGCAATATTACATATGATTTACATATAAATTTCGTATGACTGGCGACAATTTTGTCTACGACTATTTAAACTCCGAAAATGAAAATTTGTCACTTTTTCAATGGAATTTCTCTGCAATATAGGAGGTGGTGACAGTTGTTTTTATGAAACAAAACACCCACCAAACTGTCGAGTTGTCACTGACAACATGTCCTTGCAAAATTATCACTGTCGCTTTATGAAATCGGCCCCAGGTCGGTTCTTCTGATAGCAATGCCAAATTCAATCACACTTTGTTAAATACATACATTTTGTATGTATGTACAAAAACTTTGTATGTGTTAATCGAAAAATTTTCGTTGTATACATTTCGATGTTGACATATTTTTGATATTTTGAAGTCATTTTAATAATCATACATATAATAAAGTGTTTTGTCCATATTTTTGTCTTCCCTAATTATGATACATATATTTTGGATCAGTTTTTAAAAATTATGTTTTTTTTTTTTAAAAGAGCTTTTAGTTTTTGTTTTTCAACTTCTGATTGAACCTTAGCGATTAGCGTTGTCTTAAATATCTATAAATATAAAATAATAGCCGTTTTCGTTGTTTGGAGTTAACTCAAAAACTACTGCATAGATTTCAGTTAAATTTTCATAGATTATACCTTTCATATATGGTCCTATTATAGGCTACCAGAAAACTCGGTAGGTGACGCGGGAGTCGAGATATTTATAAAAGTCGTATTTATGAACCGATTTCTTTCAAATTCAAAAGGTATAGTTTCAGCGTAATGGAAAAAACGTTTACCAAAAACGGAGCCGCTAGGTGGCGCGGGAGTTGAGTTATTTCTAAAAGTCGTATTTATGAACCTGTTTTGTTAATACACATTCGAAACGTTTATTACTTTAATGATGATCATTTTTTCATTCGAAACATATTCAGCCTTATCATGAGTTTCATCTTCCCTGAACCGGTTCACTTTTCGCTTTTGGTTTCCATGTACTTACTATGGGGGGAATCAAAATTTCAGTCAAACTGTCGGAGGTCCTATTATAGGCTACTAGAAAACACGCTGGTGGCGTTGGAGTATAGTTGCTTATAAAAGCCGGAGTTTAGGTATTTAGAAAATCCGTATTTTTTATAAAATCTGATTAGATGGCTAAATCAAGGATGCGTTTAAGTATGCATATAAAGACCGTAACACTGTGTAAGCGTGATCTTGCATCTACCTCCGATTGACGAAGTTGCTCGAGGCGGCCGTTATTACAGCAGTAAGACTCATAGAAACCAATTCATAAATATTAAGACGAATTGTAAAAGTGGCAAATTGAAAAGGAAAGATTCGATCACATCTGTCCAAGAAGGAACACGATAGGTATATCAATGGCTTCATTTGAACGATATTCATGAGATCACACGACTCATTTAGCCAAAGTACGCGAAAACTTGTCATCCTGTGGAGCAGCAAGGGTTCTTGGCCTTCCTATAATTGAAAACGCTCATCTGTGCTCTTGAGTTTCCGTATAAGGACTTTTATTGGCTTACATGGTATACCGGACTAATGCTGAAGTTGCAGGATCATAGAAGAATATTACGCGCGCTTGGTAGAGATCTCACAGGTGGAAATAAGACCATAGGTAAAACACATTACATCGAAAGGGATTAGTATTCCATATGGAATCACAGCGCTACTATCCTTGGCATATGTGTGAGGAGGATTTCGTTTTTTAGTCGTTCCAATTTAAACTAAAAATGTTTACTTTACAGACTGCTTTTGCTTTTAAACGCTATTTTTGAATTGGCCAACGCAAAAGATCTTACTAGGCGCTGCGAAGCAAGCGGGCAATTGCTAGTTTTATAATAAAACAACATGCATATTAACGGTTATTCTTACCTAAGTAGATCCTTCGAACTTATGCTCTCCCATGACATGACTCTGTTGCGAAAATTCGTCTAAAAAGAAAAAAAAGAACATTAAACATTTTATCGGTGTGGCAAAATCAAGATATTTGCAAAAACTTTCTCAATGGCCGAGTACACATGGTGAAACGAATACAGATTCTATCTGTCTTGCCGAGTACAAATCGTAGACCTGTTCATGAAATCCATGTTTAAAAAGTTTTTAAAATTCTCAGCTTATCCATAGAAAACCACTTTTGATGACTACGTGGACTAAACAATTTTTTGGACTAATAATTTGTTAGCAAATTTTAAGTTTAAATATGGAAAAAATCTTTTAAGCTTTATAAAAAAAATCATTGGTTAGCAAGAGTGTAGTAAAACCGTGAAAAAATCTAAAGAAATTTTAAACCTACAGACATTTTTTTGCATTCCCTACAGTTCAACGGATTTTATGCAAAATATTGAAACTATTCTCTATTATTCTTGTCTTCAAAACAACGGCCTGTTTCAAATTAAACTAGTCACTTGTATTTATAAGAATCAATGGAAACTACTTAAATCACGTCATTTTTACATTAGGGCGATTCCACCGTCACGGGTTGGACATTTGTACAGAAAAAATTGTCATTCTTGTTTAAATTTAAGTATAAAGTACTCAACAATTCTACATTTTGATAAAGCTAGGTGAATATTATATGAGTTATTACAAAATACGAAAAAAATTCCAGCCTTTTATATGGAAAAAATCGGATGTATTTCTTTTGTCACGGGTGGGACAAAAACAGAACCCGCTTTTTGGAGCAGACATATTTTAGGAAAACTCTGCGAATTTATTTCACTTTTCTGTGTGAACTTGATGTCTTATAATAAAACAAAGAACCAGGAACACAAACAAAGCAAAAACTACAAAAAAATTATGGCTTTATTATACAAAAAATCCGAAATTCCTCTGTGACGGGTGGGGCAACGTTTGTCACGGGTAGGATACGTACGAATTTTTATATGAAAGGGAGCTTTTAGTGTGGTCCATATATAAAGATTAGTTATTAAAAAATATAAGAAGCCAAGTAGGGGTTAAATTCACTCACGTTTTACCTTAGGATGGTGCCTTTTATATAGAATAAAATACTTAGCACCGTCAGCCAAAAAAATTATAAAAATGAACGCGATTTCCTGGCGTATTGAAATTTTCACTTTTACCCACTTAAATTTAATGGATTATAAAACTGCATACCTAAAAATTCTGAACAAAAAGTTTAAAATTTTTTGGTTTAATTGTTAAAGTTTGTTGAATTTTTATAATTTTTGTAAGAAGTTTGAATTGTAGATTTATGCGGTTCTGGTTAGGTAATGTGCTAGACTTTTATAAAACAAACTATAAACATTAGATTAACCAAATAAAAAACTAAAACGGGTCAAAATCTAACTTACTTAATCAGCTGACCACAGGGGTATATAGATAATGGACGAGTCCGCGCATCCCCCCTCCTCCCCTGCGTCCACCGCAACAAACAAATAAAGCTTATCAGCCCTGTAAACCTACCTCTGACACGGGTGGGACATGCTTCTCTGTTGAATTATTCTTATCTAACTACGTAGAAACGACAATGCAATTGTGGTAGATATTTGCAATGAATTTCTAACATTATGTAACAAACACGAAACACAACCTCAACTTCTGTAATTAAATATAGCAACTTTTAGCTTTTTTGTCACGGGTGGGACAAGACTAATACTGCTTAATAATAACTCATAATATAGATAAATCAGTCACACAAATTAATATATAACACAATTTTATTAAAAGCAGATGAGTTCTACTAAATATTTTTCTACCAAACACTTGAACACACAACCTACTTTAAATTCATTCAAAAAATTTACTTAGAACTTGATTTCAAATTGTAAAAGAGGTAATAAAAATGCATTTATAGCTTTAATTTGTTATTTTTTGGTTGATTCAAGATTTTTACAAATGTTTTATCCCCACGTTTGTTAGTTTTATAAAGAAAATAATTTTTGCACTGAGGTTCGCTTTCCCATGGAACCTCCCATTACTCCTTTATAATTCCAGATAGAAAACGAAAACATGATTCAGTCAAGGGGCATTACCCCCTACATTTCTCTACCGAATTGAATAGTTATATTTTTTTTTTTTAATTAGAACAACAGTAGTGCATTTCAGTAACTTTACACTATGCGATTGTCGAATTATTAGTTTTAACAGATGTTCATCAAAATTTGAAACTGTTTAATCACATTTTTTTAGAATTTTTTTGAGTACGCAGTTTTTTAAATTTTAGTATAATAAAGTGCAAATTTGAAGTAGATTGTTTTTGATTGATTTTTGACAATTTTACAAATTATGTTCGATATTTTTGTTGTATGGAGAAAATCCGCCACACCTTCCACAAAAAAAAATTTCCAAAAATCAATAGTAAATCGAAGTTAATTAAAGTTTGCACTTCATTTAAATAAAATTGAATGGGCTACAAAACTACATACTCAGAATGTTTAACGAAAATGTTTGACATTTTTACCAACATGGTTTTTGTTAGATAACGAGCTACACTTTCATAAAAAAATAAGAAACATTATATAACCAAACGAAAGGGAAATAGCCAAAGAATGCTAAAATGTCGTTACTCTAAGTAGTGTATTGCTACGATTATCCTTGAATTAATCGCTGAATTCCTAAATCCTTCCTTGTTTGCGTCACAAAAATTCATTTATCATTAAAATTCTACGGTTACTGTTTATTAACAAATTGTATTCAATTCAACACATTTACAGTCAGCAGAAGCTGCATATTTTTACTACTATGAGTACAACTAAAATATGTGATTTCGAATGACAATTTTTTTTAGCATTGAATAAGAAAAAGACTATGGTACAAAGTACTGAAATGATATGTATGCATAGGCGATATACATATTTATGTATGTACATAAATAAGTGAATAGATTCTTGAATGATCATTTGTTTTGCAATGTTATTTTTTATGTTTTTCTTTTGTTATTACAAAAGTTTATATTTTCAACTTATTTTGAACTTGCAAAATCTCGATATCGAATGGAGAGAACACGCATTGTTTGATCATAAGAATATTCACATTGATTCTTCATTAAATCCAGAAAATTATAGGAAAAAAGTTTTTGAATTAAAAGATTCCTCAGGTTCATATAGGTTTCCCAATTTAAAAAGAAAATATATCTGCATTACTAATATAGCCATTTTCTAATGCTTTAGTAAAACGTATATTTAGTAGTTTAAAATGTGTAGGACTGACTTGAGGACCAGATAGAGCACAGATATAATTGCAGCAATATTATATACAAAGCAAGGCATAAAAATAACGGTGATACATAATTTGTTTGAGCCGCAAGAACAAAAGTACCAATTGAATTGGAGAATATAATTAATTTTTATTCTAAGTACCGTAGTACATAATACTCATATCTGTAATAAAAAATTTTGAGTAATTTGTCCGGATTTTGAGGATTTTTCATTTGTTTTTGAGGAATTTGGCAATTTTTTTGAGGCAACACTGATGTACANGTAGCAATATTATATACAAAGCAAGACATAAAAAATAACGGTGATACTTTGTTTGAGCCGCAAGAACAAATGTACCAATTTAATTGAAGAATGTAATTAATTTTTATACTAAGTACTTGTAAATTGTAGTACATATATAATCTGTAATAAGAAAATTTTGAGTAATTGGCAATTTTTTTTGTGGCAACACTGATGTACATCAATGATTTGCTGTTGTTTGTGCATGCCACCACAGCGTTGGAAAAATGGAATTCGGCTAGACAGAGGCAAGATTCCCGTAAAAAACAGGGCTAAATTACCCAGTAGAAATTTTATGCATACGGCATTGCTGTTGGTGGCATGAGCTTGCTGCTGTGTATACATGCCAGTATAAATGAACCTTCATTTCCATTTAACACGCGTGGTTTCTCAGAGCGTATGTGTACTCTAACCATACACTTGTACTACTGCTGTATGCATATGGCTGTATTAATGTTGCAAACATACAAAAATGCATTAATGGAACAGTATTAAAGCATTCTTACAAGATATGTATCCCCGTATGTAAATGCTACTTCTCTGATATATTTCAATATACGGGGACATACAAAAAAGTAGCACTTACATATGCAAATGCATATCTTGTAAAAGCCCGTTTGTGCTGAAAATTGTATCGCACAACACGTCCGTTCACTAAAATTTTTGTACAAGACTGAAAATATTACAAAAATTCCACTTCAAATTTATCAAGAAATGTACTAAAAACAACGACAACGTAAATTCGCTTGCAATTCACTAGAATTTGAATTTATTCGTGGAAATTCATGACTACGCATGAATTGTTCACACTAATTCACTCATATAGCAAGCATTCTTCATGAACGCATACAACCGATTTCTACTGGGTACTTTACCATATCAATTCTAATTTGAACATACTTATGTACATATGTATGCATGTATTAAATCTAATTGGATTGATGGCATGTTGATCTCAGTGATCGGACTTAATAAAAATTCTGTGTGTAGATTCTGGAAAAAATGTGGTAGATCTCAGGTTTCGGATCAAACTTTTTACAACAATTAAAAAAAATGGAAGGTTTCACCTTAACACTTTTTAACTCGGATCTCTAGAAAAAAACTTTTAACTTGGGTATGGCCAATTTTGACAATCCTCAAGAAAAAGTTGCGATCCCGTACGAAATCGGACTAGGCAGAATCAGTCAGAATTTACTGGAAATCGATCCCGTGCTCGGTTCTCTGACTATTGAGAGGACAAAAAAGAGAGTAAAAAAGGTCCTCTCTCTGTCAGAAGTTACCAGTTTTAGTCCGAAGATTTTTTGCAGGCAAGTTCTAGTAAATGTGTCAAACGATCTGCTGTAGTGTGTTTGGCAACCAAATTGTAAACAAAAGTAAAGTGCACTCTGCTAATGCAAGTTATCTTACCTGTAATACCAATACCGATCAATGGCGCACCCTTTACTCACGTTGCCAGGCATGTGACCATATTGTTG